AGATAATATAGTGTATATATGTTATACATAGCACATTTATTATATATACTATATATTACATATATATAGTATATATAATTACAAACCTAATATATATATATATTCACAAACAGCCATCATTCCAGGTCCTTTCACTCCAATCCCCCCCAAGATTTATTCCCAAGACCCTGCGTGCCCTCCCCTCCCGGGGGGCTCAGGGAGGAGGGCCCCACGTACCCGCTGCCCTCTGGAAGGCGTCGATGGCCTGGGCGAGGCCGGGCAGGGTGGCGCGGTCCTGGCGCGCCCCGAGCTGGGTGTGCAGGGCCCCCAGGTTGAAGAGGACACTGCCCTTCTCGAAGGCCAGGGCCCGCTGGTGGGATGGTACCCCCGTCAGGGAGTCGTACCTGGAGAAGGGAAGGAGAAGGGAAGGGTCAACAGCTGCCCACCTGCCTGGCACGAGGTGGTCTTGATGGTCCCTTCCCACCCAAACCACTCTGTCCTTGCCCATGGATGCAGGAGGAGCCTGGAGGGTTTTCAGTGCTCCACGTGGGAGCCACCATTCCCATCACATAGAATTATGGACTCATAGAATCAGCTGGGTTGGAAGGGACGTCCGAGATCATCAACACCACTGTGGTTGCCAGACCATGGCACTGATGCCACATCCAGTCTTATCTTAAAAACCTCCAGGGACGGAGAATCCACCCCTCCCTGGGCAGCCCATTCCAATGGCTGATCACTCTTTCTGGAAAGAAATTCTTTCTAATATCCAACCTAAGCCTCCCCTGGCACAGCTTAAGGTTGTGCCCTCTTGTCTTGCTGATGGTTGCCTGGGAAAAGAGACCAACCCCCACCTGGCTACAACCTCCTGGCAGGGAGCTGCAGAGAGTGAGGAGGTCTCCCCTGAGCCTCCTCTTCTCCAGGCTGAACAGCCCCACCTCCCTCAGCCTCTCCTCAGAGGACTTGTGCTTGAGTCCCTTCCCCAGTCTCGTTGCTCTCCTCTGCACCTGCTCCAGCCCCTCCATGTCCTTCCTGAGCTGAGGACCCAGAACTGGACACAGTACTCAATGTGTGGCCTCACCAGCGCTGAGTCCAGGGGTAGAATCACTTCCTTGGACCTGTTGGCCAC